CTGATTTAATTTCCTGAAAAATTGCTTGTTTATGTCTATCTCAATTCAGGTCAGTAATGTGCAGTTGGTAAGTTCTTCTAACCTTAGTTAATAGTTGCTCTACTTAAAGAAATCTTTTCTTTAAATTAAATCTCATCACAACAGGTTTCATCTTCCATATGAATAAAATCTGAATAAAGTTTTGATGCCAGGCACAAGTGATGACTTCCATTGCTGAAGGTCAGAGGAGGAAGTGTTACCTACTGGATATGAAATTCAAGAAACCATATGAGCAAGTAATTATTTCCTTTTAAATTTGTAACAGAAGTATGCTCAAGAAATCAGGCTCATTTAAAACACAATGAAAACAGGTCCCAGTAGTGAGACTGATTTCTGCTTATTTCATCTGTGTTTTGTACAGGAAAGTTTACACAAGATTAAACAGGAAAGTAAATACACAGGGGTTCTCCTTGAGTAGTTTTCTAACGGTGACCACCAGCAACACAAATTGTGTTGGTGTAGTGAAATGACCATTTCTTCCCAGCAGAAAACCTTTGCTCTGCAGGGTGTGTGCACTGAAAGAGCAGTCAAAGATTTCTGTAGGTGCTTGGAGTTGCCAACACGTTTAGCATTTAGTCTTTATCTCCCACCTCTCCTGTGGACTTCCCACCTGAGCAGTCAGTAAGCTGAATGATAAATACAGCCGGCCGGAGCAAGACAAGACTGTCACAGAGACCAGGCTGGGGAAACAACGAATTTACCCCAGTTCAAATTACACAGATTATTCAGCGGGGGTTTCCAATGTCTGTTTTGCCTGCTCCACCTCCTAATAGTCGATTGCTCCTCTCCACTGAGCACCGTTGCTCCTGCTCGCTGAAAACAAGAAAGCAGCAGTGCTTAGTTCGGGGCTGGCCCATCAGAGCAAGGAGAGGGTGAGCAGCCCCTGCTCTGTGCTCACCTCACTGGAAGGTGTGTGACAGCCGGGGACGGGGCCGGCTGCTTGCATTGCACTGCCCTCTGCTGTCACAGGAGCCAAGCTGGGGAAACACCGCCTCGCTTCCAGCTGGCCCAAACAGAAAGGCAATGGACGCGAGTATTTATTTCTTCAAGGGATTTTTCCCACACAAACCATTTCGTCTTGCTCACTGTTATCACCTGCGTGCTATGAATGTACAATTAAAGTAATAATCCTAATTCTTGTCTTTTTCTGTTAGTAGAGTTCCAAGTGCTTTGCTGAGAAAACATATACTATCAGATCTCAGGGTTTATCCTTCAGACACTGCCTAAAATATGTTTGCTAAGGCCTGGGCGATAGGTACTGAGCTTAGATCTCTTATCACAACCCAGAGACCCATGCTCCTACTTAGAGTAACAGCTGAAAAGCCCTTCTGTAACATTTATCATGTAGCCATAAGTGTATTCCTAACACCCCTCCTCAAATTTGCTAGTTTCTTCCTGCACTAGCACATTGCAGGATGGGACACAAGATACATATAAAAAAAATGATGCCGTGTTTTGCTGTCTCAGCAACATAACAAGTGTAATACAGCTCTGTGTAATAGACCCTTTTTATCCTTCAAAATAAATAAATTTCTATGAAATCAGACAATATTACTTGGCAGAATAATAACTCACAAAGATAATCCCTTAAGAGAATGAACACACGCAAGGCAGCTCCAAAAAGTGTCATAAGAAGCACATTTTAAAGGAAATAAGTATTTTTATGCCTAAATACAAACTCCAAACATACAGTACTTTTTCAGTGCCCTGTATGTCCCAGAAATGCCACACAGAGAGCTTTTAACAGCCATTGATATAATGCTCACACACAGATCTTAACTAATTCCTTTGAAGTCAGGAATTGAATACTGGGATGAAAAGCGCAGGAGCGTGATTGGCAGAGAGCCTGTGCATCATTAGGCTTCCTGCATGGGAATACCAAATCTGCAACAGTTTATAAGCATATGGTTTGAACGTCAGACTTTCTAGAAACATAAGAGTGTTGGCAGATCAGCTCAGCCTGACAACCTTCTGCTGTGTCTTGTGGCAATAACTGCTTCCCTACTCCTGCCTGATCCAGGAGCTCACACAAGGGGTTGTCCCGTGTGACTGGGGGACACTGCCTCATCACTGGGGGACAGGAAAACACAGCAACAACCCACAGAAACTACACAGCAGAGAGTTACAAACCAGGGCTGTGCTCAGAGCTGCCTGTAGCAGTCTCAGTGACACACAATCACTAAGCCGACAGTGAGTGGAATTAAAAAGGAAAGATCCACAAACTCCCAACTGTTTGTATAAATGTGATGAACATCTTAGGGATCCTCTTGGAAGATGGGGCCACCTGCTCATACCACCCTATGAGATTGCCAGTGTGCTGTTTGGGATACAGGTTTCCATGAGGACTTCCTTACAGAGCTTCTGAGAACTTTGCTGTACCACATGTAACTCACACAGAGAAACCATTCCCTCTCATTTGCACTTCATGAATTCCTGCAAATAACTGCCACAGAACTCTTTTAAGATGGAAATTCACTGGATCTAATAAAAGAGTCTCAACAAGGTCCACAAAACTTTCATGCAAGGAATTACCTAAATTTCTTTAGAAGACTCCCAAGCAGGCAAATGCAGGAAGATTATTACAGTGTTCAAGAAAATAAGGGTGGATTCATTTCCTCAGGGAATTTTTTTCATGCTGTCAGCATACAATCTTGCAAGCCTTGACTTTGCTAACACCAGTACTATTCCTATTTTATTTCTGAGGAGACTAAGGCAGAGAGATTAAAGGTAGCATGGGATAATTAGTAGAGTTTGTCAAACTGAGTAGCAATTAAAATGGAATTGTGGGAATAGCTGGACTTTTGTATTACTAAGCATTGAAATTTATCACACCAAATTATCCAAATCTTTAAAGGCTCATAGGTTTTATATGCATATGCTTCTGATATAGCTAAATTAGTATTTTTACCACCCCTAGACTCACCACTGTGTACACAAAGGGTGCTCTGATGATCATGAGGCTCTGATCATCATGAGGCTCATGAAACAGGCTGCTTTTTAAGGGTGCCTCTAACTGTAGCACCCAAGATAATGATGTTATCAGGTCTCTTCAAAATAAAATCTAAATAATTGTTTTGATTGGAGAGGTGCTGAAAACCACATGTTGTCAGAATGTGAAGCTCCACTGAAATTTAAATGCTTCTCCCAAATTGCTGCATTTTATGGAATTTTCTGAAAAAAAAACCAAACCAAAGTGAAGTAACTGTTGGAATGTCCAACTGGCTTTAAATGCCCCTCATTTTGGACTGTTTCAGCAGCTTGCACTGTAATAGGCTTTAAAAGCCAACCTCTGTCATGAAATGCTTTCAACAACTGAAGCAATTCTCAGAGCCTGTGATAGCAGAAAGCATTTTAAACAGCTCAGAAGTCTTCAGATTATGCTCTGTTTTGGAGTAATCAAATTCAAAATCCTTATTAAGGCTTCTGGTCAATTACTTCTGCCTTCAGCGTCTTACTAAGAACTCAATCTGTATTTTCAGTGAGGACTTGGAGCAAGCCTGCAGGGCACCCCATATATTGTGTAAGAGCTGAGGGCTCCTACTGCCTGTGGCTTCAGAGAAAATTATTAGAAATCCTAACAGAAACCTACCCTTTTAGCTTTCAGACTGACTGATCAGCACTAAATATCTGAGTAACTAATTTTTAGAGCTGGATCATTTATGTTTAATGCCTGGTACTACAAGCCAATTCTTGTTTGAAACAGCAGGTAATACCCAAACCCAGGGCAAGCAGCAACTGCACGTATCTGGTTGATGCTACAAATAGTTTAATATTAACTTGTCTTGTGGTTCAGCTGTACTCAATTGTGCTCATAAAACCTCCTGACACTTCTGTCAAAGGGAAGGTGCCAGGGGTGTTCATTCTGGGTTGCAAAGGAAGGGAAATGTCTGAAATGTCTCACCCTCTCTCATCTTTTCCCCACGTGTAACATTCTGCCCAACAGCAGTAAAGCAGCTCAGTAAAGTCAGGAGACCACTTCTTTCATTTTGGACAGCAGCAGGTTGCTCACCACTGCCAGGAAGACTTTGCCTCTGGATGAGGAAGACAGAAAAGGGGTCAATCACAGCTTTTAGGGACACTGTTTCCATAGTCATTGCATCAGCTGTTAACTCTCGATGATCTCGTTGATAAGGATTAGACATCATGGTAACACAGTCTGCTCCACCAAGTAACAAAGAGCACGCTTACCCAGGAGGATTACAGCACAGGAGGATTCATTCACACTATCTTCCTTCTTGGGAAGAAAGTTCAAACCTTCTTAGTTTGAACCTGGAAACCCTGTTTTTACACCTCCAAAACCCCTGCAAATTTTCAAAGGCAATCTTGAAGCTAACATTAGGTTAAAGATTACAAGTGTCTGCCTGCAGTATTTTTAAAATGCTCTTTCTTCAAACTACAGGATTTTCTTCCCTTTTTGATCATAATTTCTAACTTGAACTTCCATCTACTGAAATAGGTCGGATTAATTAATGGAGCAGATTTCCTTTCATCTCAAGAACAGCAAACCATTCAAACCATGGGCAAAATACTGACATACAATTAGGAGTTGCATATTAGCACATGTTGTATTCATTTGGACTTCTGTGGTGAAATAACTCTCTGAAAGAATCTTACAATAATGATTTTAACTCGTTAAATACATAAATACTCTTCCTAACTGCACTACAGGTGCCATAACATACATTTAAGAACTAGCCATCTCAGTCCATATTCATCTGCAATCAATACATTAAAATGTTCAGCTTTTCTATGTTTTTTCCCCCCCCTCCTTTTCTTTTTCCTTTAACAGTCTCATGCTAAAAGCCTGCCATTTCTGTTGGAGAGACAATTCCAAGGAAAAAATCCACTCTCTAAGTGTAAGCCTAATCTCCCTGTCACCCTAGATTTTCTGTCTACAGTTCTGTCTACATTTTGCACAATGACTCGAAAAAACATAGAAGTGAATAGTCAAGAGAAAGAGATACTTATTAGAATTATGACTTTAATTTTTATTCACTAGAGCAACATTGAGGAAAGAATTTTTACATACAGGTTTTTTAATCAACTTTACAAGCAAATTCCAATATACAGTATTTACTCTGGCCTGGGTTAAAAAACCAAAAACAACAAAGCAGATAGTAAGGATACCTCTTGTTTTAGCTACTACTGAATTGAAGATTTTGCTACACAGGAGTTATGTTGGTTTTATGGTGGTGCTTTTACAATTAAGTAGGCAGTGAGCAGCTTTACCATAACAGTGACTGAATTTCCTTGATAGCACAGTTGTAAGATGACTACTGAGCCCTACCACCAGGGTCACATTAAATCCACTCTGCTCAGAAAAAGCCTCTGTAACAAGATAAGGAACAGCTACGGAAGCCAAATTCAAGAACTGATTTCCATTTGTACAGCAAGAAAATGTCTGTATTAAGAGGATTATGTGCTGTGCAAAACCAGAAATACTTCCCCCCCAACATGCAACCTACCCCAGTATGATACTTTAGAATGTGCATATGGCTGTGACATGCAAACAAAGGAAATCACGCAAATGGTATTCAGTTTTCAGGCATCGTTACAACAAATCAGCATTTAGATCAAGGATTAAATGAACTGTACTGACCTATGATGCAGTCTAGTTGCTATGCCTACTCTCACTGCTACAAGATGGAAAGTTGAGGAACCCTTTCTTTTTTTTCGGAACTGTATGAAAATTGTATCATTTTTTGGATTTTCAGGGCCTTCGTAATTATTTTGAGAAAGTTGGAGAGATAATATTGCACTTCTTTTCTCAAAAGCATCTTCTGGGACCATTATTCTTTAAAAGCTATGCTAGTCCTAGGGAAATTTTGCCATTGGCTTTGATTGGCAGTAGGAAGTGCTAGCTTCAGGGAAGGAGAAGGTAATAATGATCTGGCTGTAACATCAGTGTTAGAATTCCACAGTTAAATTAAGGTCATTGCACAACAAAAACTCAGTACACTATATGAATACTTTTAAACATGCTAGAGTGCATATCGATCCTGTGAAAGTGATGTGAAAATACCTTGGAAACAGCAACACTACCGGGAAATTTGTTTCAAACAAAAGCCACACACAGCAGGAGGCATCTAGATTATTTTAGGCACAACTCCAAGCAATAAAGCTCATTTAAAGTGCAATTCTGTTCTTTTCTTTTGTGTTTATTCACTTGTTAAAACACGTAATTGCCTCTGTACACACATACTGAACAGTAGTTTAATACTTTTGTGAATATTGCACAAAAGAATGAGAAATTAAAAAAAAAATGGCAAAAAAATCAGTTTTATAAACCTAAAAAACCCCCTGAAGATATCAAATATTTAAATATACACATTTTGGATAATCTGCACCAGTACTGATGATATATCTGCACTTTCCATAAGGTAGATATGGTACCTGAAAATACTCACTTAATCCCATTTGACAAGCACTCTCAGTGCCCTCTCATCCAGCACTCCCCAAACCTCATCTTTCACCAAGGTTATGCTTCAAATCTCACTTCTTCACCACTTCTCTCCCAGCTGCCCATCTCCTGACAGGCTTTGCCATACTCTGGACTTACTATACATGCAACAGAGCCTTCCCTGGTAAAGTCTGAAGAGCCCAATCATGCAGTTGTCTTAGACGGATGCGAGGTTAGCAGCTGAACACAAACACAAGCCAGGCTAGCATCTGTCTCATCCATGATCAAATCCTGCTGGCTCCAGCTCAGTGTCTCACTAATCTGTCAGAACAAAACGGGGAAATGCTATAAAAAAGGACTATAATCTACTTAAGTTCCTTTAATACATATATACACACCCATATAAATATAGCATTTTCTTCTGGAAAAAAAATTAGGAACTGGTTTTTTTAATGAAAACCTTGATCATCTCGATATTCTTGGCTTAATTTGCTTTGATCATCTCCTTAATTTTCAGTAAAGGTGCAGATATGAATAAAGATGTAGATACTTGTACTTTTAAATGTAAACATAAAAATTGAAACATCACTAAATCAGGCTGGCAATACCTCCAGAATAAGAAGCAGAATATGATGAATTTCTGGCAATAACATTAGATGAAATTGTATTTTTACAGAAAATCATATACAACTAACAATAAAATCAGCTTCTCTTCAAGGAAAGTAAACTTAAAAAACACACCTTCCATAGAAATCTATATGGACCGGAAAATGAACCAGGAAGCTGCTCATTCCCTCAGCAGTCTTTAAACTCCTGAGAAACACAGTTAGCTGCCAGGAGCTAGTTTTGGGGAATATAAAAAGTGAGTCTTATTTATTTATTTTTATTCAAGTAAATACGTACACTAAATACCACTAATTCAATGCTTTTCATGGAGGTAACTTTTTACCAGAGCATAACTGTTACTGCAATCTCAAGTTGTGGTTTCTGACCCTATATCAACTAGAACAATTAACCTTATTTGTCTTGTTATGTCTTGCTTACATTGTCATCGCCTCAGTTCATAGCAAGTCTTGCAGGTCCCTTATTTCAGACTGATGTAAATAGTTCTGAAAAAGAATCTCCCCCTACCCATTTTTTCCCCCCAAGCTTTTAATTTTTCCACTTCATTGTCAGTTAAATAAAATTACAGTGTGAGAAATCCAAAATAATTATTGAATATCAACTATGTACTGAAAACTCAGGTGTGACAACTCTTTTTTCCTTCACCCAACTGAGGTATCCATTAGGACATGCCCAGTTAAAGGGCTTATATTATAGAATCTGAATACTGATTTATGAAATGTCTACACCTACTCACTTTAATTCTCTCAAAGAAAATACTGTAATGTATCAGTGTCCTACAGCCAGAGCCTAGAACAAACTAACACTTTGTTGCATTTTACTGAGATTATGTGCTCTTCAGGAACAGATTCTGAGCCAAGTTGTTGCAACAGCCTTCTGCTGCTGTTGTTAAAATCACCTTCAGAACAGAAGAAAAAAGAACTCAACCAGTAACATCTGAAGAGTCATGGGAAAGACAGGAAGAATTGGAGATGGGCTATAACATCAAATTTCTGGAAAGCCTCTTCACTGGATATGCGCATATGTAACTCACATCATTTGTGTCATGGTCCCAGAGTGCACCAAGACTACTTTCAGAAAAAATACTTCTCCTAGAGAGCACAAAAACATAGATTTTTTTTTTTTTATGCTTAGTTTCCCCAAAAAGCTCCTTACCAGGTATCATGCACTTCTTCAGAAATTACAAGAAAAAACCCAAACAAACACCAAAACAAAACCAAATTAAAAAAAAACAAAATAACACATCTTTGAAAAACTCTTAAGAGTACCAGCTCTGGATTAGGACATAATAGGATTACTCAAAGCATATAAGTGGGGTTATTTTTTTTTTCCTTTTTAAAAAATAGTTATTTTTTAATATAAGTTTTATTCTGTAAAATAGTTTCAAATTCTTACACATATGGCAAAGTTTGTGCAAAATTTCAAGTCAGGTACTTCAGAGCCTTTCAATATTAAACAGAAATCAATAAATACAAGCAGAACAATAAAAGTTTAAAATATCAATTAAAATGCATGTTGTGCAACCTCAACATAGGTGTTCTGGACCCCTTATTCCCAGAGGCTCCCTACTTACCAATTCCTAAGAGCCTGCATTGGAAGGTTTGGATAAATATCCTTAGCACTGCATTTCAAGAATCTACCCGGTAATGTGTCTATTCAACACAATAAAAACATACCACAATCATTTAACGAATGAGGATGTTTAAGTGAGAAGATTCGTTTCACCCTGTGAAATCGGCCTAATGTCTGTGAACAGTGAAAACGGGATAAATAAAGAACAGAGCAACTTCAGATTACAGCAAAACAAAACAACACAACCCACCCAACCCATCAGATTAAATAACATTAAATATGACAGTCTTGAGAGAATGATAAATACAAGGATTTTTGCATAGGCCTCTGGAATACAGAGTCAGGATTATGGCCAATAAAACATCTGCTAGTCAGTCTAATTTTCTACCACTCTGACCTAATGAGTACTCAGAACCAAGAAGTCAAACAGAACAGCAATTTCATTATCTAATAACTCAGAGAGGTATGAAATAATTTCTGCTATCCTGAAATAAATAGTGCAGCATTCTGGCATTTGTGGTCACCACAGACTTCAGCATTTGCTTAATTACTAAGATTGCAATACCATCTTTATTACAGACCAGCGATAAAATAAAGCACTCTCAAGAGAAACGGCTCATAACATCAGCCTCAGAACACGGCAGGATGGAGAATGCAAACCCAAAAAAGCTGCAATTTGGAACAGTGACTCAGGATTTGCAGGCTGCAGGTAGAGCGGGCTCCAAGGCAGTCACAACACGGGAAGAGGCTAAGGGCGTGGCATCGTGCGGTGAGATGTGCGAGCGGCCTCAGTGTGTCTTTGGTTTCGGGAGGCGGGAGTGCCGACCAGGGGGCATGCTGTCTCCGGAATGCAAACCAGAGGAGTGTGTCTGCACGTTTTCCTTTCTCTGGACTGGTGGCCTTGGGATGTTAGACTTTAGGGAGGTGTTCTGAGGCTCTGGAGGTACTGGTGTGGATTTCTGACTGCTCACTTGCTTGGATTTAACAAAGGACGTAGTTGGTGGGCGAAGTTTAGACACTTTCTGACTCTGTTTAACCTTTAGGTTATCCTGCCCAGATGTTTGCTGTGGCTGAGTCGAACTACTCGGTGGTAGACGCTCACATTCCTTGGAAGCAGTGGAATGATCTGCAGATCGTATGGGAACAGCCATGGTAGGAGGCACTAAAGCAGTTGGGGGTTTCACGATTCTTGAAGTCTTTGGCTGAGAAGCCTGGTTTGTGAATGAGGGTGGACCTTTCACAGATAATCCAGTCTGCACCTCTGGAGCATCAGCTCGTGTAGAGGTATGAAAGTGGGAACGAAGTGGTAATGTACCTTTCTTATTACTAGCCACCTCTCCAGGGTCTTCAGTGTTTTTGTTTTTCAAATTGTCCAAATATGATGGATTTTCATCTTTTGTGTTTAACTGTATGCTCGTTAAAGAGTTTATGTCATTCAGGCTATTTGGGAGAGAGACATTTGCAGCATTTGGACTCTGATGATTTCTACTGTCATGCAGATCTGGTTTATGATATTCACTGTGGGCCTCGATATGTGGAGTTTTTATTAGTTTTCCCTGGGCGAGGTCTGTGGAATTGGGAAGGCTGCTGGAAGGCTGTAGTACTTGAGGCTGTTGAAGAGAAAATAACACAAGAATATATTATGCAGAGAAGACACCAGATACACTCAAAATCCAATGTGAGCTGACTGGATGCTTGATAAGGGCTGAATATCTGGGTTTTTAAATCAAAACTTTGACTTTGGCAAAACAAGATGGGTCGTGGGATGCGCACAAACAGAACTTGTAACTGAAGTGGAAAAAATATACCAGCACTGAAATAAACAACAACATAAAGACAGAAAAAGAAACAGATCGGCTTAAAAAGGAAACATGAAGAGGGCATGGTTGATGGTTTCACCCAAATCTGCAGGACAGCTCAAGAATTAATGTCAATGCAGATCAATTCTAATAAGTGCTTAACCCAAAGCAACAGCTGTGTCCAGCTTTAATTTCTAGTCACTGCATACTGACCTCAACCACCCCAACCCTTTTACTGTGCAGGCAGGCAGGGAGTTGGATGGATCACAGGCCATTTCCTTGACTTACTGAGGCTAGAAAATCTGGTGGAAGTATGTGCTACTCAGGCTACTGACTAAGCTTAGGCAACTGTTTTATCTTGAACTGATTTTAAATGAGCTGATAAACAGAGTTCATGTGAATGTAGAGACCACACTCTACCACCGATAACCATGGGATAAAGAGAACTATGGAAGATTTTACATTTTATCAGAAGATACAATCTAATCAGACACACATCAGACAAGAGAATTGCCAGTACCTCTTCTGAATAATTTCTCTTTGCTCTGCCCTGTAAAGAGACTTAGAAGATTAATGGTGTACTAGCTTCACAAGACATCCTAGATCTGCAACTTGGATACAGATTTTGGAAGCATTACTAAAAATTCTGTAATTCATGGAAAGACTTAAAATCTATTAAAACCTAAACTACAGTTTTAGCAGGTTTGGATTATTTTTCTCATTTTCTTTACAAAGGAGGAGAACCAGACTCCTACCAACTAGTCATCACTCAACTACCTGGATTCTTACCAGCTGTCAGGTTGCATGCACACAGTAAACAGGCTTATTCTGTTTACTAGTGAAATAGAGTAAATAAAAAAGAAGCAATGTTCGTTTGGGAGATTTGACTACAAGTATCATTTCAGTCACTCTCCTGAATTAGTCACAAGTTCTAAAGAGAAAACCCATTATTTGTCTGGTCTTTTTAGCTCTTGAGTCAGCAAGAGGAATCCAGTGATAGCTGTGCATGCCAGATTCCTGTTACACATTTATGGTCCTAGCCAATCTCAGGACTCTAGGCTTTTCATCTTTTCCCTGGCAGGATTACTACTGAAAACTGAATCCTCAAAATTCCTCATCAAGAAAAAAAAAAATAATGGTTAATGAGAGGAAAATCGAGGTTTCTCAGTCTATTTTTTATTTATGAGCAGTTTTTCCCTTTAGAATGTAACAGTTGTCTTCTAAGGAAGGGCAAAATCTGGACCAGTGACATCAGCTATCAGACAGGCACGTAAGGCAAATATCCTGAGCAGTCAAACAATGATTATTTTGGAAAGACGGAAAAGATTAAAAAAAAAAGGCAAAGAAGCCTCCAAAATGGTGTCAAATGAGTTCCAAAACATTATTCCTTATGTGACCCAAATCTAGCTTAACTTCGTGAATCCTTCTTAACCATACAATCCTACAGGAAGGAAATGTTAAACACAAGGAATAGTTCCATACTCTGAGAGCTTAAGTAAAATTAGTCCTCCAGATGTTTTTCCATTTTCCAGTGTTTATGTTTGGGTTACAGAAGTTATTATCCTTCCAGTCTAGGAGTTGACAGGCCAATGTTCGCTAAAATGATTTACTGATTTGAGATCTCACCTGCAAAACCAAAACTGCTAATAATGAATGCAGAAAACAAAGCAATATGTACCTGATTCCCATGCAAACACTACAACAAACAAATCATATTTTCTAATCCCACTTGAAGTAAAAAAAATTAAAACATTTATAATCCACAGTATTGTGCCAAATGTGGAAAAATAATTGTCAGAAAATTTTTCTCCCCCAACTAGGAAGAGTTTTTAGATGCTAGTCTTCAAAAACACAGATAAATATCTAACCTAATAATAAAAGTTCTAACTTAATATCAAATAATTCTAGCAATACTAATCAACAAAATTAAAAAATTGATAAGTTACAGAAGAAACTAAATTTGTATGGAAAGTTGAGTTAAACACAAACACATCTGAAGTACAACAAAGCCATCAAGGTTTCAATATTGATATTTGAATTCTTCTGACAAATGCTAGGTAGTATTTGAGCTCTTCCCTTTGGGCAATTTTGCTTTTTACATATAAAAATAGTCAAATACATGTTTTCCTCGTTATCTTTTATAACCTTAAAAGGTCTAAGAAGCTTATTACCTAGAAAGTTAGCGATACTAAAGTAGAAAATGGCTATGTGCTCAGAATTCTGAGGACACTAAAGCTCTGGTATCATCTTTGACCAGTTGTTTTAAATATTGTACCGTGTTCTAATAGTCTATTTCTACTCAAGATCTAATTATCACAATGACAGATTTTCGTATCATCAAATTTCTACATGCATTAACACTCAAACTGACACTAAAAGCAGCAAAATGCCATATGAAAAATATGCACTAACACTTCACAAGGTATCCAACACTGACAACTGCATTATTGTCACCCACAGCTCCTATCTTTGTATTAAACACAAGTTCTCCTTTTACAAAGAAAGTCTTTGAAATTCTGACCATGCTACTGATAAAAACAATAAGCCAGCTGAAGGACTGAAGTACTTGATGAATTCCATCACATAAAGGAGGAAAAAGATAAAGAAGCATTCTGCCTTCCAGGCATAATATTTTATTTCATGCAAGTCCTGAAAAAAGGATATCATCTGCATTGCTTTGAATGCACTTCTGGTAATACTTCCAGGGTGGGACAGACCATGACTTGGAATAGATTGCCATACTACCCAGACTTCTATTTATGTCCCATAAAGAAAACATGCAGGTAGACAAACACCTGCACTCCTTTGGGATGCTCCTAAAATGCAAAGTTGGACTCAAACATTTCAAGTACAATGCAACTGAAGACACTTAGTTCTGCTCAAACTGGAAATACACTAGACAAAGTGCCTTATGCACATGCTCTTTTTTCAGCACAAAGAAACAGATTTTTCTGTACTGGCAAGAGTACAGAAAAAGACTTCCAAATATTGACGCACTATTCAAAATTACTCAATTCAGTCCCTACCTCATTAGCCTAAGAGATTTTTCTATTATTTCTCTCAAGTAAAACTGGCTGTTACATCATCCAGAGAAAGATGACATCCACAATGAGGATTACCACTATTATCAGTGGTTATCAAGCTGCTGAGGTTGTATTAGCTGTGTGCTGGAAAACTGAAACATTATGTTGTACTGTTAAAGAACTTAAATGTGGTCATGACATTCATCTCATTGTGATATTCATTCATTAGCTGAAAACTGCACTCAGTTTTGCTTTGTTTATTTTGATCCCCATCTCGATTCCCTTTATAATACCTCTGTATAATGAAATAAAGGCATTTTCTCCCTGCAGTATCTTGAGGAAGGAGGGAAGCGATGCAATGGAAAATCCAAGAACTGCATGCACATCTCCCATGGACATGCATCATGCATAGGGCAAAGAAAAAACCCAACAGTGAAAATGTGCGAGGGGGAGATGGGAATAAATCTGAAGTTGTACTGTACCACGCTTTATCACAGAAGTAATGGACTAACTTCTCAACTCCTTGCCAATGGCATAATGGAAAGCAGAGACAAGAAAAAGACAAGGACAATGATGTCAGAGGACCAAGACAAAACAATGAGCAATTGCCATGACAGAACTGCAACTTTTCAACATTTCAATTGCAATTACCATGTGCCCCAGTGGTTTTTAATCCTCCTTCAAGAAACAAAGGTAGCAACAGTATTTAAGTAATGCAGTACAAAAACATTTATAGCAAGACCTGCATGGAATACCTTTGCTCTTATAACTTCAAGGCTCTTAGCAGTTAATCTCTCACATTACAAATACTGCAACTAGGATTTGTGTGTATTATTACAGCTATATAGAAGAAAAATCTTTGCATCCATGCATATGTAAGTTCAATATCTAACCTTGAATAGCAAGGTCATTAAAGGCATAGCATTCCATCCTTGGATCATATTGACCATATTTCAATAACTCATCTTCCTAGCAACTCACCCACGAGCTGGAAGAGACGACTACTACAGGTTCTTTTTGGGAAGGGATGGAAGGGAAGGGTCACAAACCCTACTATGTAATTCTTTAATTTCCTCATCAGTTCTGGCATCCTTCCTGTCACTGCCTTGGCAGAGGATAAGCTATCATTTCAAACAACAGCCTGTTCAGACACAGCCCTGCTGAAAGGCTGCATCAGACAGCTCTCATTTTCCACCTCTGGAAAACATCAACATTTCACGCCTTAAACCTGTAGCATTTGCTAATACCTTATTTTTGAACTTTTTTTTTCTTTCCCTTTGATCTAGCTATATTATATCCTTATTTCAGCATTAAAATATATGCAGTATGGAGAATGAGTTCAAATAATGACACAAAACAACTGTATTTTTTTTAAACCATCATTCACCACAGCCACGAGGCTAGTAAAATAATAGGTAATGTGGCAAAGCATTATTTTTTTTCCTGCACAGTCTGTAAAGAAACTCCAACTTAGAAAATTTTATTTTTTCGAAGAAAAATTTCTTCAAGTAATATTTAACTACATCAAGCCAACTATTTCATCCACAAATGTAGATGTATGTGCAGGAAGCAAATAAATATGACCATACACATATTCAAGGTGTTTTTTGCAAAAATAAATTTAATTATGTACAAGAGACATTTCTCTTGTAGTTGACCCTGAAAGTCCTGAAGTTGGGAGGAAAGGAGTTTTTCCTAAAAGACTCTTCTTCATATAGCTGAACACTCTTGGAGCAAAAATAATTACATAAAAAAGCCAATGTAATGATTCCAGGATGTTTTTAATAA